CAGAGTGATTGTAATTTGTTTCGCAAAAATGGTTCTGCATTCTCGTGGAATTTTCAACCACTTATGGAAGGTTCTTCAAATTGACAGGAAAGATGTTATTGGTGACGGTCTCAATTTAAATAACTAGTTATTTGCAAGCCACTGATTCCTCTTTAACTGCACATTGGAATGCCGTCGTTGAGGCGGCTGTCTGGAAGAGAGCGCATCCCACGAGAATTTGTGTGGCAATTTACCTAATGAACTTCTCTCAACTACCTTTGGAGCTTATAGACGAAATTCTGAAGCATTTAGACGCGATTTCTTTGGCTAAATCAAGGCAAGTCTGCCGCACATGGCTAGCGTTGCACGCACAGGCTAAATATAAACAGTTATGGAGACAAGCTTGTGTTCATGATATTGGATACAATGTTCTTGTAGAAATAACTGGAGATAGAACAATATTCTCAGACAACCATCTTGGACATTCAAGTACTGCTGGTGAGGAAGGCTATCAGAAAACCTACAACATCGATTGGAAGGCCATTTATCGAAGGTGGTTCAGAAGCCGTCATATTGGAAAATGGCCTTGTATGATAACTGAACTCGAAGGACATTCAGGTTAGACGTGTTTGCCGGCGGCATTTTTAGCTTGATAATTATGCTTCTTTGAGACTTTGCTTACGGGCTTAAAAGACCGTAAGCATAGTTTCAGCTAGTGTAGAGAAATGCCTGGGGTTTGCTGTGATGAATTAGAAGCCCATCAAAGAAGCTAAGAGTAGTAATTTTCTTAGTCACTTCTTATGACAGAAACCATAACTGCAAACATATATCCTGTCTCTGCAGCCAGTCTGCAGAGTATGGCAGAATTCGACTAGATCTTATGCATGCAAAGGCAATTCTGCCACGGGAAATGTATGCTAAGAAAGGAAAAAAATCATGCATGTATCTGCTGTACTTTGAAAACAGCTGGATCAGCTGGGAAAAAGTAACAACTCTTGCTGAGTGGGTCCTCAGGTGACAGTTTGCAGAGTGACCTTGCAGAGGTTAGCTGTGAATATGAAGAAGGCAGCCTTGGACCAAATCAGGGGTGTTCCTCTAACAAGGCCCAGTATGTGGGACCCACCCTTGCCAATGTTTCAGTGAAGGAAGCATGGTGAATGTGATAATTAACACAACAGAGGGACTTTCAAACAATGGTAGATAATCGCATAGTGTTGAGCAGTGGAACAAGAAATGGTCAATGGTGAAACTAACCAGAACAAATACTGTCTCAGCTGTAACCTGTTGAATAGTCTCACTTCTCGCTGGATTCTGTTTTTGAGAGGTCTGGTTTCAAATTTGGCTGGATCATTGTGTCAGCGTTCTTAAGGGAACTGCTGCTTACAACTGCAGTAGTGGCATTAACCCTTTACACCTTAAGATCAATATGCATATTCTCCATACTTTCTCTATAAATTTCTTAAGGTTCTGAAAAGGAGAATTTGTTAACAATCAAAGGGGTTGAAGGGCTAATGCACCTGGGTTCTTTTCAGCTAACGATAGACTAAGGATGGGATAGGAATGTTACTGAATGAATTGACCAACGTTAAGTTGCAAGTCTTCTTTTGCTTGCAGAATGATGGTAGAATTCTTTCTCTCTTGTTTTACTATTTAGCTTATTGATAAATGTTTTCTTGAATTTGTAGGCCAAGTCCTGGATGTGAAATTCTCTGGGGACAGAGTTGTGACTTGTGGTGTTGATGGTGTCATTTGTATTTGGGACGGGTGGACAGGATGTTGTGTCATGGTTCTCAGAGGCCATCGTGATTCTGTAACCTCCATATCCTTGAGGCAAACACCAGGTTTGAATAATTTCCTTGTTTAGTATACCATAGAAATGTGGTGGATTAGTTTTAGGTAAAAGCATCATCAGGTAGGCTTGCTTCAAGGTTATGGGCCCCTGTCAATTATCAAAAGCAATTGAGTCATTGGTTGCAATGATGTAAATAAATTCACGAATAAAGTTACTAACTGACGTTCAATCGTTAATTAAATAGTAACAAATTATCATATTAACAATAGTCATAATGATTGATAACAGTATTAATCATAAAAATTACAATTTCCTTGATTGTGATTGGTTTAAAAAAAACTCCTATTTTCCACTAATTCTGTAAATAAATGTTAATAATAATCTGTGCATTTCTTGAATATCATGTGTAGGTGTCATGCATGACTTTTCTTGACAACCATTTTTTAAACAGTGGCCCAAGGGTGTGATCCTGAACAGACAGTATCAAATGCATTTCTGAGCCTTATATCACAGGAGACCCATGACGCTGCAGATGATAATGAAGATAACGATCATAATGATGAAGATAACGATCATAATGATGACAATGTATTGCTTTTCTATAGGTCTATGGAAAAATCCCTTAGATACCCCCCATGATCTTCTTGCATCAGGCTCCAGAGACTGCTCAGTTAAAATCTGGAACATGAAGGAAGGGTCTGGTGTTGCTGTAGCAACCTGTCATGGCCACAATGGTCCCATCAACTGCGTCAGTTTTGGAGACAACTCATTTTTGGCCTCTGCTTCAGAGGACTGTTCTGTTAGGATATGGCGCATTAGCACAGTTTAGTTAACTGTTTGTACAGTTGTTGTTATTTTTTTGGTTTATCAGAACCTTGACTGACCTCATTAATTATTTGCTGAAATTGAGTCCTTTGAAATCCCACAAGAGACATCATACATGAGAGAGAGTTCAATGAGCATTTTATCAAGCACAGTGTGATTAGAGTGTGACCTCCTGAGATCAAAAATCAGGTCCCCTTACCTCTACTGGATTGCAACAACATTATCTGTACCACATTAAATGTAATATTTTTCTAAAGGATAAACTGAGAACTTTTTGTTTTTTATCTCCAGGGTGATTGTACTTGTTATTACACACTGAGTAATTTAGGTGACTGGGTGGAACACACAAGACTTTGGGGATCTGATACTCTGCTATATGTCACAGTAAATGGCAAGCTGGCTTTGTCGTAAGTGATAGCTTATGACATATATATACAGATTAATTTGCATCCTTCCTAAGTTGATGCAATTCAGGGTACAGAGCTGTATAGAAGTTGCTTTGATTTATGATACAGTTTTCTTCAGAAGTAACTTATATTTTTTGCCATCTCCCTATACTTTCTGCAGCTCATAATAGATTGACTTTTTAAATAGCCTTTCCATGAAGTATAATATCAGGTGTACTATATAATATGTGGATGAAGTTCCTCTTTGTTTTCAACCCATTTGAAGTTTCTCAATGAAGTAGTTAACCCTGTAACTCCCATCAGTGACCAGGACAGAATTTCTCCTTACAATATCAATACAATATCAAGAAGACAAGTGATGAGAATAAAAAAGATGTCAATAATAGGGATTATTGGTTGATCTGATACCAAATTCTTAAAGGTAACATCATAATTGTATGGCAGACAGTGAGGAGAAGTATTAATGAGATCTGGGAGGTGATAAGAACACAAGAGAATTCTTTCTTTGAAACACAATTGTTAATTAGGAGTCTCAGATTAATTTATTGATAGCTTTTACTATAATGTACATTGCATCTTAAAAGCCCTGATTGGGAGATTCATTAAATAGTTTTTATTCCATAAATTATTGTTAATATTATGATTTATCAATAATTCACAAACATCATCCTATTCTAAATATCAATGTACAATCATCATTTTCCTAAATTTATTTTACAGGTCCATTGCAGATCAACAAATATTGTCATCTATTAGACTAAAAGCATCCAACCCTTTGCTACCCAGAGTTCATGGTGCTGTCCTTAGAGGGCAGAATGTGCTTGTTCTAACCGCTCTTAATGGTCTCTATTTTTGGTATGTATCTCCTAGTGCAATATTGAAGACAGCCATACAGTTCCACCAGCACCAGCAACCTTCATTACTGCACACATTTACTTCCCAGATTTCCTAAAGCGACCAAATTTATTAAGCTGAGGTTCCTTTTCATTGCCCCCAAGTCTTTACTTTGGTTCATTTTGGAACCTGTTTGAGGATAAAAATTGAAAGAACAAGGAAATAATGGCAGATGGTAGCTCAGACTGTTAGGAGTCTCTCATGAATTCAAATCTCAATCAAGTTAAGCTGGCTCACACTAAAATGAAAGACAAACAGAAGTGGTTAACAGAAATGGTCCATGGACTAAGTCCACTAAGTTGATTATTGACAAGGCTAACCTTAGGTCTGGTCAGGGAGGGGAGGGAGAGGAAGAGAAAGAGGAGGGGAGGGGAGGGGAGGGCAGCCATCCACATGCACAACCCCTCTTTTATAATTCAATATCTTTTCATTGTTTGAGTACACTTATTCTCCCTAGGGAAAGTAACTCGAACAACAGCATCTTGAACAACTTTCCAGTGATTGGTCCATGTTCTACTGGTGTTGTACGTGGAACATGTTTGGCCATGCATGGAGCCTTGGTCACTGTAGGAACCAGTTCTACTGGAGCTGTGTATGTCTACCACCTCAACGGCAAATGGGGGAATCAGGTACATTTACATATTATTACTTAACCCAGAAGGAAGCAGCTTTTAAATTCTCCCCAAAATATCTGGACACATATAATTCACTTAACCCTTTAACTCCAATGAGTGACCAAGACATAATTTCTCCTTACAATATCAATGCACTATCAACCAGATAAGTAATGAGGATAAAGAAAAATAGCTATTTGGGGATAGTTAGTTGATCCAATACTAAATTCTCTGAACTAACATTATAAGAATTGTATGGTTAGCAGTAAGGAGAATTACAAATTTGATCTGGGAGTTAAAAGGTTAACTGACAGTGAGAATAAACAAGCTTATCAGTGAGAGGGTTACCTCAATATTTCTCTCAACTAATTTTTAGGGAAAAGTAAGGCAGCATCAAGAGATGATCACAAATCAAATTTTGGATAATAATTATTAACCCATTAACTCCCTGAAGTGATTAACACGCAACTTCTACCTACAGTATCCATACAATATCAAGCAAACAGGTAATGAGAATACTTAAACTTATCAGGTAAAAGTTGCCAATGGTCGAACACCAAATTCACGTAACTAATTTACAAGGAAATGGGTATTAGCCACATGAGAGAATTAACAATCTGATCTTGGGAGCTTAAGAGTTAAATAGTTAAAAAACAGTTGACAAAAACCCCAAAATTTCAGTTTGTTTAATGGCTCTTCAAATATGAGGTCCCAAGATGCTTGACAAATGGTCATTTTATATATTTATTTACATTTCAGTTTAACAAGATCCACTGTGTGCTTCAAGTAAATAAATCTGCAGTCAATGCTGTTTCAATTGATGATGATGGTCAAGGTCCCTGTCTTGCAGCTGCAGGGGACGACGGCATCGTCAAAGTTTATCGCTGGTTTCCACCAAGTGTTTAAACCAAAGCTGAGACACACTTAGGCAACAAGTTGCTGAGAATCACAGCAACAGTTTGATTCATGTGCATGGTGAATTTACTTGAAAATGCTTGTCCCAGCAATATAGTTTTGTTGCCTTAAAAGGATGACTTGCTGTGGAATGTAGAATGGATACCTTACAGCAAAACAATGTATTTACACAATCATTTCAATTTTATTAAAATCACAATTGAAGCAGAATCAATTTATATTTTAATAATGATGATTACCTACACATTGTGAGAAAAGAGCTTGTTAGATATTCATAATTCAAAGCAAAATATGAACAGGTTTGTTTCAACAATAATTTTTGTTAATATTGTGGCTTAAAAAGCCAATTTTTTTCCAGCAAAAAGAGATTTAAACACCATAAGTTGTTAGACAGACAATAGCAAGGGATCATGCAACAGTTAGGACCTTTTAACTCCTAAGTTGAACATAACAAAACTTACTTATTGTGTTCCTTCTGAAAATTACATTAACTGGAAACTAACTACAGCAGCAAGCTCAGCTATCATTCTATGCAACATGGCTAATAAACACACCAAAATAACTCAGTATTTCACCATTTTTTAGAATTTAAGACAGTTAATACATATCTGCCTTTGGTTTTTTTGTTATTCATTAAATGGAACAAATCATTGGTGACACCTTTTAGCATAATTCAACCAATCAACTCAGTTACTGACAAACTTCCAAAAACTGAATGTACCAGAAATACTTCCAGATAGGAAGAAAACAGTTATGATATGAGATACATGTAAATGAACTGTGGGCAGCAGTGATCATGATTAGTTAATTGTTTTGTGTTAATCTCTCCACAAACTTAGCACAGTTCTGTAAAATAGTTAAGGTGTTCACAGTTTTCTTAATCTGCCAGCAATACAATTTATAATAATTTTTCTTCACACAAATATCCTTTCCCTATCCCACTGAGTTCACAGGGAGCCCCTAGTTGGGATATGTAGTAAACCTCCTAACAGTTTCTTAAAAAAATTATATACAAAATTTAAATAAGTATCCAAAAATCTGCTGATGGTTTTTTTTTGCTCTACAGCCTCTGGTAATGTAGATGTGCAATAGATGAGTACATAAAATTCTACCAATGCTCCTCTGCACGGCCAAACTTGAACACAATTGCACTGCAGAGGAAAGGAAGAAACTATTAGCTGAGAGAAAAAGCTCGAAGATCTGTAGAAATATACCATTTTCTAAAACAGCAGTAGAAAATAAAAAACCACTCAGTTTTAAACCACACACTCAAGAAATTACTGCAAGCATGGAAATCCTGTACTGTAACAACCCTCCAGTGAATAATCTTACAGAGTCTTGTACCAGCAGGGATGAACTGTAACCAACCCTTAGCTGTTTTGTTACTGAGTTTCATTTAGCTAAATGTTTATAAGGCAGAGCAGATAAAATTTAAAAACTTAAACAAACAAAAAAATTGTTGCCATTTTAATTGACCAGGTTTAAATGCTTCATGGCAAGGTGAAAGAAAGGAAGGGAAAATCTGTTCTTGAGCCAACTGGCTCATCCAGCCTGCGCTTATCCCCATCTCTGTCACATGAAGTGACTAAGAGTGTTACTACTCCACCCTGGATGTGATGCTAATTGGTCCAGTTTCCCACTCAATTTACCACTACCCATTTACACTCCTGGGTCTAAGTTGTTCAAAGCTGAGTTAAGATAACACAGGGTTAGTGTGAAATCTGATTTCAGATCTAAAAGCTTTAAAAGAAAATTCAGTCAATATTTTTGTCTGGAATATGAATATTTGATGCCTTTAAAAGAACACATAAAAATTGTTCCAAAAAGGCTTTTTAGTAAAGGAATAAAGAAATCCAGACTAAAATTTAACCTTGGGTAAGTGCTTACAGGTCCTTGAACAACTGGGCCCTTGGTGGAGAGAGACTCTTTGAAAATAAAGTTCCTTGCTCACGAACACAATGTAATAGAGGGTTTTAGATCTACATTAGGTGTGTTCACCACAGACGTCAAGCCATGCTCAGCAATTTGTGGTTAGAAATAAGAAATTTCTAGACTTTTAGCTTTTTAGATAGACGTTGGCTTTCACCTGAAAAAAATCAACATGTGTGCCACCAAGTTGAATTACAGAAAGGATGGGGGTCCCTCGTTTCAAACACAAAATGAGGCTAAAAGATTGGTCTTCTAGATTCCCAAATGGATTGGTTCTTAAGATAAGACTTCAATTCACATAATTATATTCATAGGAAATAAGTGAGAACTTTCAAAAAGGTAGAAAAAAAGTATCAAGGGAGTTCAACTAACTGAAACTACCTTGCTGAAAGGTCAAATGTGGACAGCAAATGGCAAATGTGACTGCTGGAGTCTGGTCACATGACTCCTAGATGTTTGTCGTCACTTGTGTTCAGAAACAAATGTGGATCTAGAATAATCCTTGATAAGCATGTCTTAGATGCAGACCTCTCCCCCCCTCAGCCTAGCACCCTAATTGTTAGGCCACTGTGTGTCCCTGTGTGTCATGATACTCATAACCAATGTTCTGACTTGCCTGAAAAATATTAAAGCATTTTGGAGGAAGATTGCTACTCCAGGCCATGGATCAGATTTTCCTGTAAGAAAAATAACACTGATAAGTATTGTATCCTCTCCTAACAGTCTAATACATTAAAAAGCCGACATGTAGTGCAAAGATAGCCAGTAATCAACAATCAGAAAATAATAGACCAACTTTATGACTGACTTTTTACAGTAAAATTTCAGAAATGAAAGCAGTCACAGTGAAACCTTACCTTTGGGACACCTCTATTCAGGGGACGCCTCCAATCAAGTTTGAAAAAAATAATGGTAATTCACTCTCAACCAACAAAAAAGGCTGTAATACAGTACAGGGCCAAGTTGTTCAGTTGCACAGTTAAGCTATGTGAGGGTTAGCCAACAATTTTTTGATCAGTTTTACAGCTTTACAGACAGTTTGCATATATTTCGTTCTTCAGTTTTGCCTTAAGCAAAGGAAAAACCCCTCAAAATGTAAGCATTAACCCTTTAAACCCTTAGAGTGACTAGCATCTAATTTCTCCTTACAGTTTCACCCCTGAATCAAATATTAAGGTCATGAGAATAATGGAGATGATCAACAAGTACAAGAGCTCTTGATTATCAAGCAAAATTTTGTTGTCAGCACCTAAGGAAATGTATAGAAGGCAGTAAGGAGAATATGCATACTGATCTTAGGGTGTAAAGGGTTAATATATTGAGCTTTATTTCAAGAGAAACCAGAGACAACTATTAACCTTGAATTATCACTAACTGCTTTTCATACAACCAAGGTTGTGTAGATCATTACTGTAACAGTACCTGGAACAACATAGGCACCAAAGAGAATCCAGGTAGCAGAAATCAAACTTCCAAATAGCCATAAGAAACCATTTAAAAACCATACTCTGGCACCTGTAATAACCAATCAAAATTACAAAAGACTTGAAACCTTCAGGAAAGCACTTAGTGAGGACTGGGGAAGCATTCAGGATTTTTCACAGATGCACCACTATGGAATGACGTAACTGACAAGTGACTTAAACAAAGTTTTGTGGAATGCTAGTTATGTTAGAAAGCCTAAGGTCATTTTGGGGAGGGGAGGGAGTGTACACTTTGCACTCATCCCCTAGATCTGCCCTTAAAGACTCGATCTTAACTACACATTTTGTAGGATGAAGATCTCAAAGGTTAACCAGCAGAGGAATTTTAACACAAATTTCCATTGTTTTAAATGTAACCAAAGGTTTAATGGGCAATTTTTACCTGTCAAATTGGAGGATGTCTGAAAAATTCACACAATTTCAACAACAAAAAGTTTTTGAAATTTTTGTGCCACAAGACTTGTTTACCAACTGAAGCTCTCTAGTTGGAAGGGTTAGATAAATGATTATTGATACCTGTTTGTCCAATGCATCCTGTGCCATAAGTCTCTCCTCTGATCTGGGCATTTGACACAGCATTAATCCTGTGAGCAAAAAAAGAAAAAAAAAGGTAAAATGCAATTTCAGGGTTGTATACAAATGCCAATGAAGTCCAATTGTTCAACCCTTTAACTCCCAGAAGTGATTAATAAGAAACTTTTCCCTATAATATCCATACATTAATTAGCAGACAGGTAATGAGAATATTCAAAATTATCAGATAGAGGCTGCTATATTTCTTGATCTAGCACCACATTCTCATAACTAATTTACAAGGAAATGTTCTGCAGCTAGAGGGGAGAATTAACAATCAGATCTTGGGAGTTAAAGGGTTAAGTGCTGGGTTTTCTGACTACATGATAAAAGTCAATTGTGAAGAACAGCTCCCCATAGAAAACTGAAAGACCAATGACAGTACTAGTTGGCCAAAAATTGTAACAACTGAATTTTTACAGCAATATCCCTAAAACATAATTTAATCTGCATATAATGATACACATTTTATATGTCTTGATACCACAACAATCAGCCAAAAGGTTTTACCAGGAAGTTGTTAATTTACCTAGTTTTCAGCTTAATTCCATTTTTTTCAGGGGTAACTCTCAAAAGCACAATGCTCAAAATTTTTTAGCATGATTCATCCAACCCTAACCACCGTCTAGTGATTGAAAAGTAAAAATATCAGAGGTGATTTTTTTGTGAGAAAAGAAAACAAGGTACATACTTACATAAAAAGTCCTATTGAGGCTATAACACCTGGGATGTGATAAACATGCCAAAAATCTTTGGTAGCTTCAGCATCAATTATTATCCACCAGCCAATGAAAAACTATCAATTGAACAAAACCAAATTTGAAAATCAACAACAGAAAATAAGAAGATAATCCAACTTTTTCTCTAGCATAACTGTGGTCAAGACAATAAATTTACAGATACTCAGCCTTCTCCCTACTTTTCTATCTCAAATTTATTTGGTTAAAACTGACATAAAATCACAGACTCATGATGTTGGAATCCTCTCTGTGAGAAATCTTATGGCTACAAATTACTACTGGGGTGGGTGTTTTGCTCTGTTCCAAAATGATAATATTCTATTAACAAAAGAGGAAAAATACCTAAATTTGGTAAATTTGGGTTACATTCTGTAAGATTGATTCATTTTTTGACATCTTCTGAGCACAAATGTTTCAAAGATCAGTCTGAGGGTAAACAAATGAGCAGAGATAGACTTGAAAGTTTTCTCCCTGGTTTAGCAAACAGAACTTACCATAGGGAAGTCCTAGCAAGCGATAACATGCTAAATACTAGACTTAAGTTAAAGTGAGATAAAAATTTGCTTAATATATCACATAGCAGAGCCCAAAAAGTCCTTTGCATTCCTTTATCTTTTCCCTAGCGATCTACAAACTTAATTTTGAGTTTGCAGTCAGCTTGCGTCTCTGCATTCAACAAGCACCAAAACAAGAATGAAGTACGGTGCGAGTTAATTATCCCAGAAGCTTGTAATTTTTTTGTTTCTTATGTACCTCAGCTCAGCTAGGCTGCCATAAAACGAAAATGAAAAAAAAATCCTCCATTATGACGAGTTTTAAGGCTTAATAAGTTTTGCCTCTGCATCAAATTGGATATAATCTATTCCCTTGCGAATGGATGCTGATTTCAATATTTGAAAATGTAAGTTAAATTCACCAGAGTTCCAGCTGAAACTGACGAAATTAAGTTCCTTCTCTCCACAACAACCTCCATATCGGGGCAGCGAATTTCATCCAGGCATCCACTCATGATTTCTAGTTCAGTTCAACTCGAATGTCTATAAAATTTAACGTCATTTGCAAATCACAATCTTCGTGATTCTTCTGGTATTTTTGTCGATTACAGACACCCAGATTCGTTCCCAGAATGCGTCAGCATTTTAAAAATACTTAGTAGCCGCTCAATTGAACCTTGGTAACCGCTTCAATTAGTCAGCAGCCGCCATCTTGATCACGGTGGTGTGCTCTAGCTACAAAAGACTTTTTTTAGAAGAGAAAGTTCGACAATTTAAAGATATACCTACGGAAACTTCAACATGTCTATTATGGAATACAATGGTGCCGCCATCATAGCTATGGTTGGCAAAGATTGCGTTGCAATTGCGGCAGATCGACGTTTAGGAATTCAAGCTCAAACTTTGTCTTGCGATTTTCAAAAAATCTTTCAAATGGGTGACAAGCTTTTTCTGGGTCTTCCTGGGCTGGCGACGGACGTGCAAACCGTGTCAAACCGGCTCACTTTTCGCAAGAACCTGTACGAACTGCGAGAAACTCGTCAGATCAAGCCCAAAACTTTCATGAGCATGGTGTCAAACTTGCTCTACGAAAGGAGATTCGGGCCTTACTTTGTGGAACCGGTGATTGCCGGGTTAGACCCGAAGACCAACGAGCCGTACATCGCGGCGTTAGATCTGATCGGATGTCCGATGGAGACGAAAGATTTTGTGGTGAGTGGCACTTGCTCGGAGCAGATGTATGGAATGTGCGAGTCTCTGTGGGAACCAGATCTCGAACCCGATGATCTGTTCGAAACCATCTCCCAAGCCTTAATGAATGCTGTGGATCGAGATGCTGTCAGTGGTTGGGGTGGCATTGTTCATGTGATAGAGAAAGATAAGGTTACAACACGGACACTGAAAGCTAGAATGGACTAGACAACGTTGCTACCGAAAAAAATTCAGAACATTACAAGGCTGTAACTTTGGATTAGTATTTTGAAGTTAGTATTTTGCTACCCTTTGTTTTCAAGTATATGATTAAACTTTGCAAAACTTTTCTTGTGAAAACGAAGCTGTGGAAAAGGAAAAAGTGAATTAGTTTTATCATGGGGATGGTGGGTACTTTGAGTCTTAGCTAGTTTCATACCACCTTACCCCCTCCCCCCTTTGCCTTCTGTATCCACTTACTACCATAACCTGAGTTGTTTTTTCCCCTTATTTACCCTGTTGGCTTTAGGGTCAGATTTGATAGGCAAACAATTTAAGCCTAGGAAAGGAATTGATTTAATTGTCTTTAAACCTTGCTGAAAGTTAAATCTGAGGAGGCTATTCTGTCTGTCCATTTTGTGTGTATTGATTTTTCCTCGTCGCTACATATGGTATTGTATTTTTTCGGTCAAATGATGATTTTTGCGTTTTGCATTGCTGTAAATCTTACGGATTTACCCTTCTGATTTTGGTTTAAAATATTGTGTGAATATGAAAAATAAACCAAATAACTCAAGAAAACAGGCAGGTAAAGGAGAAAAACATGGACGATAACCCTGAAGATCATGACCTAACAATACTGTAGAAAAATAAGTTTAAAACTTGTTACCAGTATTGGGAAAAAGATACAGCGAAGGAAACAATGTGAAACACTAGAAAATGTTCAAATATGTTCTAGAGAAGGAGTGGTCCTCAACATTTGGACAATGAGAAGAGGGTTGCATCTTTCAAGTTGCAGCTGTTGTTTGATCTTGTCACACAACGCGTTTTCTTTCCCTGGGGCACAAATTCAGTTTTCAACGTAGAGTTACAAAAGGAAATGAAAAAAAAGGTAATGCCAAAAAATGTCAAGGGAATCCATAGGGAGCTAAGTGAACAAAAAATCTGGTAAATTCTTTTTCCGAATTAAACCACCGCAATTTCCGGAAACTACAAGAATGAGCTGCTTCCAGCAGAAATTACCTCTCAAGAGCCATTTTACTTCCGATAAATGGAATGCCCTGACGTTCCCTTTCTTATCCGGCGTTAAGACAAGAAACGAAACTATTGATTGGGAAGGAGAAAAGTTTTGTTGCTTTGTCTGAATTACTGGTACTTGGTAATTCAAGATTGGATGACGAAGCAATTTGCCATTGAGCGTCGAAAATAAACCTAGAATGCTTCGATTTTGCTTCGCTCTGTTATTGGTACAGGAAACTCGTGCCAATCTCTCAACCAGTCAGATTCAAAACTAACACCAATCACGGCTTGGTCGCTCGCGCGTTGGGCAGTTTCGTTGCTTTTACTTCGATTCTCACTGGCTCGTAAAAGTATTTTCCTTTCATCGATAAACGCTCTAATTTTTCAGGGACGAAAACCTGACTCTAGCAAAAGCATACCTTTGCTAGTAAATAATCAATTTTCGTATCCTTTTGTAAGATTTCGTTTATTCCGTACTCTCCCGGCTAAATTAACCAAAATACTTGTGGCATTTCCTCGAGTTTCGTTGGCTTAAAGATATGTCTTCTCTTTTCGTCTTCAAATTGCGGAACAAATTCGACAAAGAAGTGCCTTGACCAAGTAAGAATATTTATACTGGATGGAAATGAAATGGAACAATACCTCCGAAACGGATGCTTTCTGAACGAATTCTTAGTTCAAATCATTTCCTTTAATATTCTGAGTTCCGACGACAGAAAGGCTCGGTGAAAGCCGTATATTTCATTTCAGATCGGTAATTGTCTTGTGGTATTGAAAGAAATTAGAGATTTCCAACTTGATGCTAAATTACGAATTTGATGACAGCGAATTAAATTCATAAATATTCTATTTGCCACGAGGAAAATGCTTTGTTTAAGATTATAAACACTTTTCTACATACAACCTCAATTAAGTAAAAACCGAAAATCGCAGTCTAATATTGCCTTGAAGAAACACAATGAAGAATGCGTGCAAACAAGTGTAATATATATATATATATATATATATATATATATTTGATTCGATACCTGTATGTGACCCGCAGCAAATATTTGACTTCTGATGCTCTTTCCTTTGAAATGCTTCTTTTCATTGATTAATCGCTTTAGGCCAGCAGAATGAATATAATAAAAGTGTCTGAAATATTCTTCTCTCTCTAGTGGACAAAGTTAGTGGTTGTGAAATTCTTTTAGAACCTGATTCTAGCCTCTAACTTTTGAGTTATCGGATTACATCGCAATCTGAATGCGGTTGCAGCTGCAAAAAGCAATAGTTATTAAAATTCTAAATTTAGATCTGTTGGGGAGTTGTCCAAAGAAAAAAATTTATGTACAACTCCCTCATGTTCGACTTTGACAACACGAAAACCTAGATTTTCCACCTCATTTGTTTTTCTTAAAGAACTTGTTTGAACTATATGTAATTCCTTGTCCTTCCCGAAGCCATTCAAATTACCAGTGAAAACGTATTTCACGTTGGCTTCTATGAGTTTAGGAACGATTTCTTGGCGCGTGTTTAAATCAATGTTGTCTGCATTGCTCTCCTCATCTATAGATTTGCGAAACCATGGAGTGGTTTGCAAAAGAACGATTTGTTTTGGCGGGTTTACTTGTGCTTCCAACAGCTTTGATTCAAGCCATTCCTGTTGATCTGTTTTAAAACTCTCCATATCGGCGTTCACGTCTTTGTAATAACTGGTATTCATGGCTAAAAACTGAACTCCTTCAACCCAGAAGGCAAACCAGTCATCGCCAAAAGTATTCCGATACGCATCGACGCCGTCCAATGTCAGTGGATTACCGCAGTCTGTTGGGCCACAAACACACACGACAGGAATCTCCGCGCTTAAATTTTCAAATGCTGACTTAAAACTCTCTATCTGCGGGAAATATTCTTTATCGTTTGGTGATGCATTCGTGTAATTTCCATGTACGAGTAAAAATCTCGGTTTAGGTCTCATGTCGTTAAGAGCATTTATGACTTTTTCTAAAAGGCGTTTCTCCGCATCACAGCTTTCTTCGGGATGTGCGTCGTGGCCGAACTTTGGAGCCACAACTTGAACGAAATAAAAAACGTCTTTGCAGGTACCCTCGCGATATCTGGTAAACACGGGTAGTTTGTAATCTTTTGCCTTCAAAATTCGGCTTTCTTCAGGTGTCTTACCGGCTCTGCTCGCTTGATTCATCACCAAAGCATCGGGATGAATTTCCAAATTTAATCCGAGATTATCGGGTCGAAGCATTTTTTTTGATCGATCGCTAAGGTCCGCAAATTTTTCGTGTATAGTTTTTCTCCAATTCAAATTATAAAACATATGGCTTCAGATCACACATGCGTACACCAGCATATGCAAATTCGGGACCTTATTAGCTAAAGCTTAGCAAAGATGTCAAACCATGATTTAAATAATTTTAAATACAATTTGCTACTCCGACGAAAAAACAAAAGCTATCCGAAAAGCCATTTGCTCGGTTTCTTCGAAAAAGGTTGAAATCCTCTTGTTTTTTCCTTTTTTTTGCCCGGATTTCTATAATTTGTGACTTGGTGAGTGAAAATAAAACTCGTATAAAATGTCTTTAAAAATACAGTGATTAATTCTGGAGTCAAAACATTTGACGCAATGGTCTCTCGTTAAATTTGGAACTGATTATTCCAGTTGTAAAATCTATCATTATTTCAAAAGATCCACGAAGTTTTTCTGTTCAAATTTTGGCATGTAAAATAAGAAGTCAGGCTTTTTTCTGAAAAGCGCCCTCGCGGACCGGTATATTATTATACATTCTGCGCGGTACAGTTCGATTTGCAGGCCAGTTCATCTACATCTCTAGTTTATCTATCAAATCGGTAAATGCAAATTGATCGATACCATTAAAGAAACAGATCCTTTCCGAATAGATCAGCAGAAGAGAAAGCTTTGAAAATTTCATTAAATCAGCAATTTCAAAATTGAAATCAGTACTGAGTAACATGAAGGAGACCATAAAATATTTGTTCAGCAAAACAGAAAAAAACACCCAAGAGAAGTATGAATAATGAACCAAGGATGAATAAGTGTGGCTAAGAAAGAGAATATTGAAATAGGCTGCAAAATATGAACTCGGCGGAGGCACCTCGCCTTAATTTTCCCAGAGGGGCTAACATCGGCTTATCCACCTAATAAAGGCCAAGAGGAATTTCAGCTATATTCCTCAACTCACCGTAAATTGAAACGTTCAAGGTTATTATTTTTTAACAGTTTGGACCGCACTTTCTATTGGTGTACCGAGAACACGATAAAGAAAAACTCGTACCTTCAGAAGCTTTCGGAGGGATGTCCCAACATTCCGAGTGGTTTTTCAAGCAAGAGGATATAACTTTAGCCTCCATTGCAATTCGTTGCCAAGCCAAAAAAATAAATACATAAATAAAAATAAACTTTCTAATATATTTTTTTAGAATGTCTCTGCTTTCTGTGGGTTTACTGGTAAGAAAAACGACAGGTTATAAGGAATAAATCAAACACGCGAAGTATTTTATGTAGTTTACAAACTGTAGCTATCAAGCAGTATGCAGGACGCGTGTCATATGAACTTCGTAATATACCTCGCTCACTATAAAGTCTCTGTGGCTCAGTGGTAGATCATCGGAGCGCGGAATCCGAAGGTCTAAGATTCAATTCCTCATGGGGACTCAAAATTTTTTCTTTGTCCCACGCTCTTGACAAGAAAAAAAATATGTTTCTCTATTTTCTCTGTAGCAAATTACCAAAAACATGCAAAACCTAACGATGAAAGAAGGTGAACTGAAGAATTCAATGAACCTTTAAAGTGAAAAAGAAAATGGAGCAAAAATCCTGGTAGATAAATAAATAATTGAAAACATATAGTTACAAGTTACAGATATTGCAAAGACAGGTATGTGTTAAGGGAAATAATTAATGAATAGACCTGAAATGCTGGAAACTTAAGTTGCTCATTTGAATGCCGGAAGTTGCAAGAAAATTGCCAAAAATCCAAAAAGATGCCACCCAAAATTTAAAGAGTTGATGCCAAAATTTCTTGATCTTTTTATATAAATGTAAATCAAAAGAGTTGTTTTTCATTCGTTACAGTAAATAATGACGACGGTTAAGTAGACAGCTTGAGGTATTAGTTTCAAAGAGTTGCTCGCAAATATGTGGGAGATTTAAGGATACTCTTAAGTATAACGGAACAAAACGCATGGTTCATTTGCTAGAACTTTAAAAAGTTGCTCCGAACGCCAAAAGTTGCCGAGAACAAATGGGACAGGCTTATTCGTAAGGTCACAAACCTTGGCCTCCCATAAATTCTCTTCGCATTCGCTTTCGTCAATACGAAAATTAAAAATAAGCTGAAATATCTTCGTAATTAATCAAAACGCCTTCAAAAAATTCAACTGAAATGTAAAGCTAAAGACGATTGCGCATGCGCCACATTTGGAGCTTTCCTGCGTCATTCATTAATTGAGGTTAATTACTCACATCTAAATGTCTTACCTCTTTCAAGAACCGCCATCAGGCAAACAACATGTTATCGAATAATATCTAATAAAATCTTCACAAATCACTTCAACGTTTCTTGATCTCACCCCGTAAATTAACTACACGGCAAGTGACTTCTATGGACATGACATCAAAAAAATTAAGTTGCTATTCAAGTTTCTGTTTGAGGACAATATTTTTAGCTTCTTTCTTCCGCCTGAAAGAAAACTAACTAAAAATTCTTGCCCTTTTTATTGTGTTTGAAATTCTCCAATGTGAGGAGTATTGGAAATAGGTCAAACTGTAAGGAGAATCTAGTTGTTGAGATTATGGTTATTATGGTTATTTTGTTATGCAGATTAAGCTTACGTTAAAGTATCGGCGTTATTGATATTCGAATTAGGCGTAGTTTCCTTTGAGTGACTGAGGAAATTTTTTGTTAGTTTATAAATTAAGTAGCCAGGGTGCGGAGGGCATTTTCTTAAGTTGAGGAGGAGTAATCTGCGCTAAACTACCTTGGAAAAGCATTCCGATGGACGAGAAAATCATGATAGTTAGTCCTGATGAACAACAGGAAGTTGCTGTGCAAGACAGAGAGCAGCATGGAACGAACACGGACGAAAAGGTGTCAAAGAACGTGGACGTCAACAAAAGAGAATTGCACTTCGTTTTTCGGGCAATAACTTTTCCCACAGTAGAAAGCAAAGGAGAAATTGTCAGTGAGTCTTTCGTCAGCGTGGAAGCTTCATCAGTTGGAGAAAACAGCTGTCGGCGTCTCCGTTGGCCCAACACAACTTGGCCAACTTGGAACAATCAACAGCCAGCGCATGAAGGCTTACACCGTTACGAAAACAGAAGAGATGAACAGAAGAGTAAGTTGTACGCCAAGGAACATTCAAGAAGCAAAAAGAGAGTGCAATTTGATGAAGCTGTGTATGTATTTTCTGAGCTAAAAAACTAGTTGGTCAGAGGCTTGAGTCCTGAGGATTCAAAAGTTTCGTATCAGTTTATTCTTGTCTTTATAGTGATCTAATACGTTCCTGTCTCTTGAGTATGTTTAAGAAGGCCGTTCAGTTCTCTTCACTGATCTATTTGTAATGCAAATAACGGTACAGATGGATTTACTTAAGTCTGGTTAAATTTCCAAGACTTCCTGTAAAATTTATGCTTTTGGAAATAGTTTTGAAATCTGGATTGCGCATTCGTTTCTGTTTTTTTACTTATTCCACTAATTGCCACTTTAGTTCATGGAAGGTTAGTGTCGATATGATAATTATTACTCTTGTCTAAGCCAAGAATGATTTGTAAAATCTTTTCGAAACTTGACTCGATTCGCAAAGTCTTGAAATAGAATACTGGCAACACGGTTGCAATGATATCATTTTGGCATGATGTAGTTACAGAATGCGCTCTCAATCTTAGTTCTTAAAGCTTGGTCTTTACATTCCAATAAATATAATGATGGGGTGAAGCAACGAGCTGGCAACCGTGGAGAGCTTTTTCCAATTGTTTTTCTTTTCAGTACAAAAAGGATCTGGGGCCAGCTTAATGCGTTTTTCTTTGCCAAATTCTATGGAAGCTGTTTGAATATGATTTACTGGTACAAATCGAAATGTTTAATTTATCAAAACGAATTCTAGCGAGCAGAATGTGAGACGCATTGCAAACCAAAGTTACGCCATCGCTGTCTGAGATTTCCACAAAAGACATAAATTTAGACCAAATGAATAAAGGGGGTAAGTTTCTAAAGAAACTGTGGTGCTGCGTC